GGGACCTCGTACAGAGGTCCCGTCCAAACGATCGGTGTTTCACTGTGTCCGGAGGACACAGCGGGCACCGGATCGCGGTGCTGCGCGCTCCCAGGGAGCACGCACAAGCAGGGTGCGGGGAGGCCGTTCATAAACGGCCACCCGACCCTGTACTGCCACCATCCGGCCGTTTATATGCAACGGGTATTGCCGGACGGGAGGTGGTTAAATCAATCTCAATTAATTTTTTTTAAGGTCAACTCAAAGAATAAATATTTGGAACACTGTTTTACAGTAGTCCTTTTGTATTTGGTATAAACATTTTTCCCTCAATGAAAACAATGAAGTTACAAACTAGCAAGGTTGTTTTAAAGTGGTCCTATTGTTTGTGGTATACACATTTCTTTCATTTAAAAAAAGAATCCCAAGCATCTTTTTAATAAACAATACAATAAATAAATGCATAATTTAATTGAAACAGTTCTACTTTCATCCATAATTTAAATTGTGTGACATAAATATAGCAACGGCCAACATTTTATTCTACACGGCCTCTGTTTTAAAAAAATAAAATATATCATTGTTTGGGGATTCTAAGTAATTTTGTAACAAAAAAAAAAAGGGTAAAGGGGGGGGGGGAGTCTGCATTTAATATTCTGTCCAATTCAATGTAGCAAAAATAAAATTGCGAAGCATTTGTGTTTTGATTACCCTCAATTATATTTTTCAGGTCACGTCAAAGAGATAAATACTTGCAAAATCATTTTGAAATGTATCTATGCGTTTCCCTCTTGTATTGATCTGTATTGTTGCTGTATTGTCTCCCGATATATTGTAAAGTGCTGAGCAAACGGTTGCCGCTATATAAAATCCTGATATAAATCCTGTATAATTATACAAATCCTGTAAATAATAATAATTTCCTTTAGAAAAAAGAATAATTACAAATCCTGTGTTTGGTAATAATAAAATTTATTAATAATCTTTGCAAAAAAAAAAATAATAAAAAAAAAAAATAAATAAAAAAAAAATTATAAAATATATCATTGTTTGGGGATTTAAGTAATTTTGTAACAAAAAAAAAGGGTAAAGGGGGGGGGGGGTGCATTCAATCAAACTGTTGTCTCTATATAAATCCTGAATAATAGTAATAATAACTTGCAAAACTGTTTTGAAATTTTCCTATTGTGTTTGGTATAAACATTTATTTTTTTGAAAAAAAAAATAAAAATAAAAAAAAAAATATATATATCATTGTTTGGGGATTCAAAGTAATTTTGTAACAAAAAAAAGGGTAAAGGGAGGGGGGGCTGCATTCAATATTCTGTTCAATTCAATGCTGCAAATTAAATTACAAAGCATTTACGTTTTGATTACTTTCAATTATATTTTTCAGGTCACCTCAAAGAGATAAATACAAGGATCAGGGCCCTCCTAACAATCTTGTATTGAACTGTATTGTTGCTGTATCGTCTCCCTTTATATTATAAAGCGCTGAGCAAACTGTTGGCGCCATATAAATCCTGAACAATAATAATAATTTGCAAAATTGTTTTGAAATGTTCCTATTGTGTTTGGTATAAACATTCTTTTCTTTAAAAAAAAATAATAATAAAATATAAATATATATCATTGTTTGGGGATTCTAAGTAATTTTGTAACAAAAAAAAAGGGTAAAGGGAGGGGGGGGGGCTGCATTCAATATTCTGTTCAATTCAATGTTGCAAATTAATTTACAAAGCATTTATGTCCTATTGTGTTTGGTATAAACATTTATTTCTTTGAAAAAATAAATAAATAAATACATAATAAAAAAAAAAATAAATATATATGTATATAAAACAATGGAAACAATTCTAATGTCAATTTCAATTGTGATTTGGATCTCATTAAATTCACGAATTGCAAAGTAGTCACCTAACAACCCAACAGCCCCTGGTCACACTATCACCCCATGCACTTTACAAATCTGTCAAGCTGACTTCTCATTTGTTGGAATTTTGAAAAATGATTTGCGTACTTTATCCGAATGAGGAGGAGTGGTGGAGAGAGAAAGGAGCAGAGGCATTCAGAGGAAAATAACAAAGGTGAGTGGTAAAAGGGAGATTGTGTGTGGGAAGACAGGACGTGCCTGCACAAGGCAAGACAGCTGAGAGTTTACTTCAGGTCATTCTACATTATAAAAGAAGAAGAAAAGAAAGACAAAAGGAAGAAGTAAAATGACACCGATACCGAGAGAGATGGGAGGCTGAAGATGCTTCGTGCTAGGTGAATATATGAAGGCTTATGGATTATGTTATAAAACTCTCCAAAAAAAAAAACCATGAACACAAGGGATTTTGTGTTTTTTTTTTTACAAAATATAGCATTTATCATGTGCACTGTAGGTCCCACAATACAAAAAGCTGAACTCCAAACTTCTTTTCAGTCCGTCCCAGGGGCGGCGACTGACCATTTGGAAACTCGGGCACTTCCCGAGGGCCCAGGCTCAGTAGGGGGTCCCATGAGATGCCCCTGGTACCTTTTTTCATAGGCTTTTTTAAGTTTGGGCAAGGACACAGGGGCGCCATGATCCCCTATTGCCCAGGGGCCTCATGAGTTGTCAGTCCGCCCCTGGTCCGTCCATTCTATTCAAATGGTTTGACCTAAAATTTGAGCTAAGGTTTGTCCTCTTGAAGAACGAGAACTAGTTAATGTAGATAACCATGTATTTAATATAGAAAATTATGTATAAAAACGCAATAAGTAGACTTTATAACCAATGTGCGTACAGGAGAAATCAGTCCTTCTCATTCAGGGTTCCATGGAACCGTAGTTTTTTCTCCAGAGGTTGTTGGGGGTTTGTAAGGAAATATGACTTATTAACTGGCATCCGTTTTGTATAATGCCTCCATTTCTAGACGTGTGAACAGTTAGTTTTGGTTTTGTAACTTCTCTCTCGTTTTCTTAGACTAGTTTCATTTTTGTAAATGGATCTACCTTATGTGGTATCTGCAATGGAATCCTGGTAAAACGATTGGCGAATAGAAATGCGCAATTACGCACATGCATGCGCACACACACGGTGAAGATTAGCACCAGACGGACTATTTAAAAGGTGCCTCTGCCTGTGCTGAGTGCTGACTGGTCTTCAGCTGTTACCTGTTTCCTGCTCATTCTTGTGTGATTTCCTTGTTGCTGAGCCGGCTTGTTCCTGACCTGACTCTGATTACTCTCCTGCTTGATACTGGCTCCTGACTTTAGCTCTGCTCCTGACTTTGCCTTGCTTATGATTTGGTACCTCGCTGTCCGCCCGTTGATGACCCCGACTATTCCTATAACATTGCTCCTGTCTCCCATCCCTGCTTCCTGCCTTGCTCTGGTGGGTGCACACCTGGTGACCTACCATACCAGCTCTGCATATCACTACTGATCCTGAATAGGAGGTTCATCAGTCTTCCAAAGTCTCCAGCTGCAAGAGCTGCAAACATCATCTGCTGGCGCTCTTGTCCCCCTGGTCCCTAGACACCCTCTGTTACACTTCCAGTGGGGTTAGGGCTAGTGACACAAGTGAGGCCGACCTCGCCATTTCAGTTTCAGGTACATGACAGTATCCCTCAACTATTTGCAGTTTCTGTTCTTCGTCAGGGGCGGACTGACCATTTGGGAACTCGGGCACTGCCCGAGGGCCCGGGGTCAGAAGGGGGCGGTTTGGGTGTGGTTTGAGTGTGGGCAAGGACACAGGGGCCCCATGGTCCCCTATTGCCCAGGGGCCCCAGGAGTTGTCAGTCCACCCCTGTTCTTCGTGTAACTATATTGATAAGATTGGAATGTTTCATTGGACATCCTTAGATTAAGCAACGCCTACTGAGTTCTGTATAAACGTTCTTGTCATGCATTAAAATTTCAGAGATTTAGCTTGAACACTTCGGTGTCCGGAGCTTTATTTCTCCCAGGCCTGTGAAAATAACGAGGACAGAGGCTACAGACATAGGTTGAATCCTTGCAGGGTTCCTTGAGCAAAAAGCAGTTTCTGCATTTTAGATAAGTAACCACGAACGCCAATAATATTTTTAGCTGCAGTATCTGTATGGTTTCCACAATCATCCTACTGACCATTATTGTAAAGGGCATCCTTCCCATTGACCATTTAAGGAGCATTCTTATTATTGATCACCAATGTAAATAGAATTCTTTCCACTGACCTTTATTGTAAAGGACATTCTTCCCACTGACCACAATGTAAGGAGCATTCTTCCCACTAACCACCAATCTAAGGAACGTTCTTCCCAATGACCACCAATGTAAGGGGCAGTCTTCCCACTGATCACCAATATAAGGAGCATACTCCCCACTGATCTCAAATGTAAGGAGCATTCCTCTCAATGACCACCAATGTAAGAATTATTTCCAGTTATCACCTATGTAAGGAGCATTCTTCCTATTGACCACCAATGTAAGGGGCAGTCTTCCTGCAGATCACCAATGTAAGGGGCAGTTTTCCAGCTGATCTCAAATGTAAGGAGCATTCTTCCCACTGACCACCAATGTAAGGAGCATTCTTCTCAATGACCACCATTGTAAGGAGTCTTCTTCCTACTGACCACCAATATAAGGAGACATTCTTTGCACTGACCACTAGTGTAAGGAGACATGCTTCCAAATGACCATGAATGGAAGGAGACATTCTTTCCAATGACCACCAATGTAAGGAGCATTCTTCCCACTGACCACCAATGTAAGGAACATTCTTCAGACTGACCACCAATGTAAGGAGCATTCTTCCCACTGACCACCAATGTAGGGAGTCTTCTTCCTACTGACCACCAATATAAGGAGACATTCCTTGCACTGACCACTAGTGTAAGGAGACATGCTTCCAAATGACCACGAATGGAAGGAGACATTCTTCCCAATGACCACCAATGTAAAGAGCATTCTTCTCACTAACCACCAGTGTAAGGAACCGTCTTCCCGTTGATCACCACTGCAAGGATCATTCTTCCTATTGATGACCAATGTAAGAAGGATTCTTCCTATTGACCATGTAAGGAGCCTTCTTCCTGTTGACCACCAATGTAAGGAGTCTTCTTCCTAGTGACCACCAATATAAGGAGACATTCTTCGCACTGACCATTAGTGTAAGGAGACATTCTTCCAACGGACCACGAATGGAAGGAGACATTCTTCCCAATGACCACCAATGTAAAGAGCATTCTTCTCACTAACCACCAGTGTAAGGAGCCTTCTTCCCACTGAGCATCAATGTAAGGAGCATTCTCCCCGCTGATCACCAATGTAAGGAGCATTCTTCCTATTGATGACCAATGTAATAAGGATTCTTCCTATTGATCATGTAAGGAGCCTTCTTCCTGTTGACCACCAATGCAAGGAACATTCTTCCCACTGATCACCAATACAAGGAGCATTCTTCTCACTGACCACAGTGGGATTAGGCTTTTTTCACTGACTACCAGTGTAAGAAGGCCCTTCTCCATCTGCCCATCAATGTAAGCGGTTATTTTCCAGCTGACCACCAACCTGGGGCCCTTCTTCACTGACTGCCAATGTAGGGGAAAACTTTCACTTGACCATCAAAGTGAGTGAACAATATAATTTTCACTGTCTATGTTTCTTTTCTAGCTTTTTTATTATTAATATTATTATTATTATAAAACATTATCTAGTATTAGATTGATAATTGAAAATATTTTTGTTGTATACAGTAGCTCTTGCTATTAAATAGTAAGGTATGTCACATTTCCTGTCCTCTTAATTATTCTTACATGTACAGCCGACAGTTAATAGTGACGTTCTATGATTAATAATTATCAGCATAATAGCATGACAATGAGTTAAGCAGGGGTTCCCTGAGACCCAAAAGTTTCTTCAAGGGTTTCTATAAGTTAAAAAGTTTGAGAAAGGCTGGGCTACACTCTTTACATACGTGGTGGGAATGCTCTGAGATCAAGATGTCCTGGGCTAGTCTGTGCTAATTAGTGTACACCATTTTGGGTAAGGGTATATTAGAATCACCTAGGCAGGCACCGTCAATCCTAAAAACCATCTGAATGGTTCACAAAGTTCACAATTTCATCTCTTGACATTTCTGTTGATGGCAGCAAAGCAAATTTTGGCAAAGGAGTGATAGTCTCACACTCCCATGATTGCACAAGTAAAGTAAAGGATGCCATGGTTGATAGTTAATGAGAAAATGGTCATGATTGGTAAGCACTCAATATGGCTGAGTCTATGGGTTGAACAGCACCTCCCTAGAGTTGTTTATCAAGAATGGTTTAACCCCCAGGCTCCCTCCCTGACCCCTACCCCTGATATCCCAGTTCCTGATTTTCCCTTCCTTAATTTTTCCCTCTTCTCTCTCTACTTGTTTTTAACAATCTTGTCAACCTGTTAGTCTCTTTATACTACCGCTAGAAACCTTCTTCTTCATAGCCTTCACTCCAATGGAAGATGTTCACCAACCCACTGCCAGGGCTGTATGAAGTGCTAGCCTCACTTTTCACCATGTGACTGTTTCGCTATACAGGTTCCTTTTCTGCTGAAGGAATCAATTTTCAAGGCCCAATTGAATTTGAGTATGACTACATATTAATATTTTAACAATATTTGCCCAACTGAGTTATAAAGGTTGCATGGGGATCTATGCCTGTACAAGATGTGACCATTTAATTCCCAGAGTGGACTGTGAAACAAAATGTTTGCTTACTCATACACTAGTGGTGTACTCATACACCTTAAAAGTGGTCTCCTTGTGAAGCGACACACTATGCTAGAGGACTGTGCCACTGCTAGAAACATTAGTTTTCCAGAACTCTGCACAGTATCTGTTCTGGTGCACTGGATGTCCGCAATGTCATCAAGTCAGGGAAATAAGATGGTTGGTCAAGTTTCGGAATGGATTTCCGGGGCAGGTACTCGTGAACACTTGTCACATCATGTGCAGGGGCATTGTTGTTGTGGGGAATCGACTTGTCAGGCCAGAGCTCTGGTCTTTTCAGATTCTCTGTCCATATTTGCATTCGTCCTTTTTGTTTTTAGATACCCACTTCTCGTGTGATCGTGGACATCTTCCTGCCCCACTTTAAATCACCTATGCTATTCAAAAACACTTAATTTCTTCATGGAATGTTCACCATAAGCCTGTTGTAACAAAGCTAAAGTCTCACTCGCACTTTTGACAACTTTCATGCAACATTTGATGTTAATCCGCTGCTCCAAATTCCTGATTCCTCTAAATAGATCTTTGCATCACTAGAGGGGTCACCAACAGGAGGAAGGAGGTCCTGACTCCTCTATATAGATCTTTATATCACTAGAGGGGTCACCAGCAGGAGGAAGGAGGTCCTGATTCCTCTATATAGATCTTTGCATCACTAGAGGGGTCACCAACAGGAGGAAGGAGGTCCTGACTCCTCCAAATAGGTTTTTATATCACTAGAGTGATCACCAGCAGGAGGAAAGAGGTCCTGATTCCTCTATATAGATCTTTCTATCACTAGAGGGGTCACCAACAGGAGGAAGGAGGTCCTGATTCCTCTATATAGACCTTTATATCACTAGAGGGGTCACCAGCAGGAGGAAGGAGGTCCTGATTCCTCTATATAGACCTTTATATCACTAGAGGGGTCACCAGCAGGAGGAAGGAGGTCCTGATTCCTCTATATAGACCTTTATATCACTAGAGGGGTCACCAGCAGGAGGAAGGAGGTCCTGATTCCTCTATATAGACCTTTATATCACTAGAGGGGTCACCAGCAGGAGGAAGGAGGTCCTGATTCCTCTATATAGATCTTTATATCACTAGAGGCGTCATCAACAGGAGGAAGGAGGTCCTGATTCCTCTATATAGATATTTCTATCAATAGAGGGGTCACCAACAGGAGGAAGGAGGTCCTGATTCCTCTGCATAAATCTTTATTTAGACCTAATTTAGAATACTATATCCAGTTCTGGAGACCTTATTTGCCATAAAATATTGATAATATAGAACGAGTCCAGAGATGGGCAAAAAAATGGTGAAAGGTTTGAGGGATAAAACATATCTGGAGAGACTGCAGGAACTTAATATGTTCAGTCTGGAGGAAAAAATGGAAAGGGGGAACATGAAACCTTGAAACTTTTAAATACATGTAGGATGTGAATAAAGTTCAAGAGGGCAGTATTATCAATAGGAAGCTAAGATCAAGAACATGGGGACATAACCTCAAACTAGCAGGAGGAAAGTTCAAAACTTACCTTAGAAAGTATTATGTCACCAAAAGATGCTTGGAATAGGATTCCAGCAGAGGTAGCAGAGGTCAACAATAACAGGCTTCAAGCAAAAATCTATATTCAGAAAAAAAGTAAAAAAAAAAAAAGGGGGACAAACTTGATGGACCACTTGGTCTTTTTTCTGTAGTCACTCTTCTATGTTTGTAGAGTGACTATGTTTGTACTTTGACTGATGCTTTTCAAGCACTGCCTCTTCATTCATGTGAATAGGGCGCACCTCAAAATTCATGGAAGTAACAAAACGCTAACTACCCATTAAGCACGGTGCTTATGAAGATTTTATTATTTTCCACCTTTTCCTGAGTTCGTACAGTTGGCAATGGCTGGAGTGGTCCTGCATATACATAGAAACATATGTTGCAAACAGGTCTTTGTGGTTACAATTCTGCTAATAACATCCCTAACGAAAAAAAAAGAAACTAATGGGGTTTTGAAGGTACCATACCACAAAATTGATATAGTCCAAATGTTTTAACAGTTACCACTTTATTGATAAAATTGAACCACAATTGTGGTGATGAAAAATAGCATGTGAACACATACATTACTCTTAAAAAGCATAACATGCTTATAACAAACATAATTGAGAAACAACATTTTAAAATCTAGCCTTTCAGAGCATAAAGATCATAATTACCATAATCATTCCCAGTTGATACTTTTTTTTGTTTCTCCAGCGTGTTTCACAGGACGCAGCTCGCTTCTTCAGGGAGACACAGTGTATAATTCCATTGGTAACATCAATGACTCTATAGAAGGCCAATGAAAAAGCATGAGAATTAGGTCCAAACACAAATGGAAGAGGTCCCTCAATCAAGAGTGCTGATGACCACCAGCTAAATAAAGTTGCCAATCCATAGTAGGAAGCACAGTAACCAGGGTACTTGTATGGTCCAAAGTGGAACTGGTTCAAAAGGCTCCAAGAAAAAAGTTCCAAATAGACAAGGTATCTCTAATAACAAAGAGGGACACTTCTTCATCTGACAGCAATAGTACTCTCCAAGAGAGCCAGGATGGTTGTGGTTATAACAGGACTGTGACGGAGGAAAGGCAGGACAGAACACACAAAGTGGATGGCAGATGCACAAAGCTTTATTGAAATAAACAGATGGCAGTCCTTCAATATGGGGGGTGGCAGAGAGGGTGGATTGCCACTAAATGGTAACGAGGGGGCCCCACCCACTTATAGTCCACTAGGAGAGCCAAGGGGGGTGTCCTTGTAACGGGTAGTCCGACACAGGAGGGGGTGCGAGGGGTCACCACCGCAACAGTTCAGGTAACACAGTGGGGAAGCAGGTACTCACAGATCCAACAGGGTGCCTGGTCTCCCAGGGGTAGAAGCAGAATGCAGGTACCTGTGGAGTCCGGAGCAGGCGGGTGGCCTCTGGCTCTGGCAGACGGGCTGTGGTAGTCTCTCCCCCTGTGGGGTCTCTGACAAAAAGCAGGCAGGCTGGGATAGTCTCTCCCCCTTCTGTGGGGCCTCTTGCAATCGCAGGCAGGCTTTCTCTGGATGTCTCTTCCCTCCCGTGGGGTCTCTGTGAGGCTGGGGAGTAGACTTGCAGAGTCTAGTCACAAAGGTCTCGCAGGAGCTTGAGATCCTTTGATGACTGCCCAACGGAATGAAAACGGAGCTCCCAGCATCAGCCTCTTAAACTGCTGCAGGACGCTCCCCGGTCGCCTTGGCAACCGGGAGGGGGAAAAGGGAATATTAGACCTCGGGGAGAATCAGGCTGGTGACAGGGACATCCTGGGAGGCAGTGATGATGTCTGCATAGATGAAAAGCAAGTTGGGAGGTGTGCAGAGAGCTCCCAGTCATCTGGCCAGGAGGGAGGGGGGCCCAGAGTAATTTGATTAGGCCATTGAATTAGGCCATTTGGCTGAGTGACACAGGGGACAATTGGAACAATACAGAGCAGGACGCTGAGGGCATGTGATACAAGGCATTAATAAGGGGATTAATAATTGGCAGGCTCAAATACCGTGACAAGGACAAAATGCTATTATCTATTCTACAAAACAACTGGTCCAAAATATACAGGTATGAACCCTCTGTACGTTCTGTTATTGTTTTTTTGGTTTGTTTTGTGGGTTTTTTTCTGTCTTTCTACTTTAGCTCTTATCAGATTTTCTTCTTTCCCCACTTTTATAGTTTACTTGTGGATAAATCTCCTTCTAGGAGGTGTGAAGTGCTGCAGACTATGTTGGTGCCACAGGAATAAAGTATAAAAATAACTGAAGGAACAGTGACAATGTGTCAATCTGTAT